AGAAAATGAAAACCTTTGGACCATAAGTGCTAGTCCAAACCTGTTTGGCCCAAAGTGGCAATTTCGACCTAACTACAGGACCATTCTTGCAATTTTGTCTAACAAAAACTTGTCAAAAGCCAAATAAGATCATAATAATATGTGGGCCCAATGATTATCACCTCTGTAAAATACTCTCAATTGAGTGTTATGTTCTTAAACTTGTTAGACCAAAGGAAGTGGTTATGGTTTCCCCTTTTGGTTTGCCATGGTAGCACTGGATAACACCGTTCATATCATGCGGTCTTCACTGCGGTTTGGTCGTATGCATCTAAATTTGGCTGCATCTCTCTCCTCTCTCCTCACTCTCTTCTCCTACCATCTCTTCTCTGTCTTGCTCTTCTTCCTTTCTTCTCCACCATTCCCACCCATGGTTTTACCACACCCAATCCTATCCTATGTGGAATTAAGGTGGAGTATCATCCGACCTTAAACTTCATTAAGTACACAACATTTTCATATATTAACTAACCATTTTCGAATTTCACAAAATCTTGGAGTGAACCCTTCTTTAAAATAAAGATTAATACATATAGTTTCTCTAGTTATTTTTAGTAATTAACTATGATTTACTCGTCGCGCGGCGGCAGTAATGAATTTAAGAAGAGAAATACTTTCGGTTACAATAGAAAATTAAGAGGGCTTAAGTTGTCAAACCACAAAAGTTAGAGATCATTGCATAGAAACTTGGGAGGAATTAAGTTGTCAAACCTTAAAAATAAGGACCAAAGTCATGCAAAGCAAAATGCACCAATTTTTGTTATTTATTCATGTTTAATATAAAACATAAGCACAAAAATGTAAAAAACTAATTACATCGAAACATAGACAAACTTGAATTACGTAGATAAAAAAACTCAAGTAATGTTTTTTTTAAATTAACAAACGAAATTTCTAAATTTAAGTTGAAATATTGATCACCTAGAATTTATACCGATACATATATAAAAATAAACACGTAATATTTTTTTTTTTAAGTTAACGAATTTGATAAAGTTCAAAGTCAAATGAGTCAAAGTGATATTTTACAAAATTAAGGGGTGATAAGTATAGGAAAATCAGATTATATACTACGGGGGTAAATACGAAAGTTTAGAAAACGGAGAAGGTAAAAGTGATGTTTTTAGAAAGTTCAAAGTTGAGGGGTAAAAAAGACATTTTAAAAAGTAAAGAGGTGGGAAAGTTTTATTTTACAAAGTAAAGGGGTAGAAAGTGTTGCTGGATAGAAAAATCGAATTGTATAAACTATTTAGGGGGGAGGGGGCGGTTGAAAACAAAAGTTTACAAAATGAAAGGGATGAAAGTGACCTATGTAGAAAGTTCAAGGTTGAAGTAAAACTGATATTTTACAAAGTATAGAGGTAGAAGTATCATTTTACAAAGTAGAATGGCTAAAAATGTCTATGGTAAAACTCCAATGACTTTAGTTTTAGTATATAGATAATATTGTAACTTCCTAAGAATTTGTTTTTTTTTACAAAACTGCAAAATTGGTCTATATTGTTTACAAAAAACTATAGATAGAGTCTAAAAAGTTTTCAATTTGCAATGAAGGTCAACAATCAATTTTTTTCTTGGTTTTAGTCCATGAAATAGTTGAAAGGACAATTTTACTTTTTTAATTTCTTTAACATATAATTTATTCTTTAATAATTAACAAATAAAAAATCGACCCCACACCCACCTACAATACCCCTTTCCCCCTCTCATTTACACACACATATAAAGAAAGCAAAAGTAAATGCCATCTTTATCATTAGGGTCTTCCTAATTTAGAACACACAAACACACATTCTGATGAACCTATGGATATTCAAGATGAACACACATTGAATTTGAATCCACAAATACACACACATGTTAGAGAAACTTGTAAACACATATGATGAACAAGGTCTGATTTTAGTGTTTTCAAGGTCTGATTTCAGGTTTTTAAGGGCTGATTTTAGAGAAACTTGTAAACCCAGATGATGAACACACATATCTTTGAACGTCTATTTCAAGGGGTTTCAAGGTCCGATTTTAGGGTTTTCAAGTCCGATTTTGAGGAAGAACACGATGCTTGATAGTTGGAGGGTCGTTTTAAATTCTCGAACCCAAAATCTCGATCGGTTGAAA